CTCATTTCCCCGCCCCTTTTCCCCCTTCTTCCCCGCCCCTTTTCCCCCTTTCTTTCCCGCCTCTTTTCTTCCCCCTTTCCCGCCCTCCTTTTTTCCCCCCTTTCCTGCCCTTTCTTCCCGCCTCTTGCCCCCGTTTCCCGCCCTTTCTTCCCGCCTCTTCCCCCGTTTCCCGCCGTTCTCCCCTCTCCCGCCTCTTCTCCCCGCCCAGGCCGACCGCTACCAGCGGCTGAAGGACGAGGTGGTGCGGGCGCAGGTGCAGCTGCAGCTCTTCAAGCTGTACCACAACGAGGCCGAGATCGAGAAGCTGAACAAGGAGCTGGGCCTGAAGAACCGCGAGATCGACAAGGACAAGAGGCGCATGGACCGCGTGGAGGACGAGCTGCGGGACCGCAAGAAGGAGCTGGGCAAGATGATGAGGGAGCAGCAGCAGATCGAGAAGGAGATCAAGTGAGGGCGCCCCGAAACGGGGCCTGGAGGTCGCCTGGGGGGGCCTGCGCCCCCGCGGTCTGGGGGGTTTGGGGGATTTTTGGGTGGTTTTGGAAAGATTTTCAGGTGATTTGGGGTTATTTTTGGAATATTTTGGAATATTTGGGGTTGTTTTGGGGTTTTTTTGCTTATTTTGGGAGAATTTTAGAGGATTTTGGAGCGTTGTGGGTGATTTTGGAGATTTTTTGGGATTTTTGGGGGATTTTTTGTGGAAATTTGCAGGATTTGGGGGTGCTTTTGGAATATTTAGGGTTATTTTTGGGTTATTTTTGGAATATTTGGGGTTATTTTTGGAATATTTTAGAATATTTGGGGTTGTTTTGGGTTGTTTCGGGGTTTTTTTGCTTATTTTGGGAGAATTTTAGAGGATTTTGGAGTGTTGTGGGTGATTTTGGAGATTTTTGGGGATTTTTTGGTGGAAATTTGGGGGTGCTTTTGGAATATTTAGGGTTATTTTTGGGTTATTCTTGGAATATTTTGGGTTATTTTTGGGTTATTTTGGGGCATTTGGGGTTGTTTTGGGGGGTTTTTTGCTTATTTTTGGAGAATTTTAGAGGATTTTGGAGTGTTGTGGGTGATTTTGGAGATTTTTGGGGATTTTTTGGTGGAAATTTGGGGGTGCTTTTGGAATATTCTGGGTTATTTTTTGAATATTTGGGGTTGTTTTGGGTTGTTTTGGGGTTTTTTTGGCTATTTTTGGGGGATTTTTGGGTGATTTTTGGAGGATTTTGGGTGACTTTTCTCTGATTTTGGCCGATTTTTGGCTGATTTTTGGCCGATTTTGGAGTGTGTTGGGTTACTGCTGAGTTATTTTGCTTATATTGGGTTCTTTTTGGTTATTGGTTTATTTTGGGGTTATTTTGGGGTATTTCTGGGGTTATTTTTGAGCTTTTTGGGTTAATTTTGGTTATTTGGGGTTATTTTGGGGTTATTTTTGTTGTTTTGGGGTGATATTTGGGTTCTTTGGGGTTATTTTTGAGTATTTTGGGTAATTTTGGGGTTACTATGTGTTATTTTTGGGTTACTTCGGGGTACTTTGGGGTACTTTTGGGTTATTTTTTGTGAATTTGGGGTGATTTCGGATTAATTTTGGTTATTTTGTGCGATTTTACCAGAGAAAAGGACTCGGAGCTGAACCAGAAGCGGCCTCAGTACATCAAGGCGAAGGAAAACACCTCCCACAAGATCAAGAAACTGGAGGCGGCCAAAAAATCCCTCCAGAACGCGCAGAAGCAGTACAAGAAACGCAAGGGGGACATGGACGAGCTGGAGAAGGAGATGCTCTCGGTGGAAAAGGCCCGGCAAGAATTCGAGGAGCGGATGGAGGAGGAAAGTCAGAGCCAAGGCCGCGACCTGACCTTGGAGGAGAACCAGGTGGGACCCCAAGTTTACCCTCCCAGGGGGGATTTTGAGGGGTTTTCCTCATTTGGGGGGAGTTTTCCCTCATTTTGAGGCAGTTTTCCCTCATTTTTTGTGGAGTTTTCCCTCATTTTGGGGGAGTTTTCCCTCATTTTTTGTGGAGTTTTCCCTCATTTTTGGGGAGTTTTCCCTCATTTTGGGGGAGTTTTCCCTCAGTTTGGAGGAGTTTTCCCTCATTTTTGGAGGAGTTTTCCTCATTTCTGGGGGAGTTTCCCTCATTTTGGGGCAGTTTTCCCTCATTTTTCGCAGTTTCCCTCATTTTTTAAGAGGTTTCCCTCATTTTTTGGGAGTTTTCCCTCATTTTTTGCGGAGTTTCCCTCATTTCGGGGGGTTTTTTCCCCTCATATTCTGGGGATGTTTCGCCTCTTTTTTGGGGGGAGGGATTTCCTCACTTTTGGGGTTTTTTCCTCATTTTTTGGGTTTTTTTTCCCTCATTTTTGGGGAGTTTTTCCTCATTTTTGGGTGGGTTTTTTTCCTATTTTGGGGGGTTTTCCCTCATTTTTTGCAGCATCTTCCTCATTTTTGAGGAGTTTTTCGTGTATTTTGGGGGGTTTTTCCTCAAATTTTGCAGAGTTTTCCTCATTTTTGGGTGTTTCCCTCATTTTTTGCAGTGTGTTTCCCTCCATTTTTGGGAGAGGTTTTCCCCTCCTTTTTTGGGGGAGGTTTTCCCTAATTTTTTGGGTGTTTTTCTCATTTTTTTGCCGTGTTTCTCCTCAATTTTTGAGGAGGTTTCCTTCCTCTTTTGGGGGAGGTTTTCCCTCTATTTTTGGGAGAGTTTTCCCTTCATTTTTTGGGGAGTTTTCCCTCATTTTTGGGGTGTTTTTCCTCAATATTTTGATGTTTTCCCTCATTTTTTTGGGCGGTTTTCCCTCACTTTTTTGGGCGGTTTTCCCTCACTTTTTTGGGCGGTTTTCCCTCACTTTTTTGGGCGGTTTTCCCTCATTTTTTTGGGTGGTTTTCTCTCATTTTTTTGGGCGGTTTTCCCTCACTTTTCTTGTTGTTTCCCTCACTTTTCTTGTTGTTTCCCTCACTTTTGAGGTGTTTTTTCTCATATTTTGTGGTGTTTTCCCTCATTCTGGGGTGTTTTTAGGTGAAGAAATACCACCGGCTGAAGGAGGAGGCCAGCAAACGCGCCGCCACCCTGGCCCAGGAGCTGGAGAAATTCAACCGGGATCAAAAAGCTGACCAAGATCGCTTGGATTTGGAGGAGAGGAAGAAGGTGGAGACCGAGGTGAGGCTCAAGTGGCACCCCCAAACCCCCCTGGACCCCCCCAAAA